GTCGTATGAGCGCGCGAGGCACATAAAACTTTTTTCAGTTGGTAGGGAATTTTGAATCTTGCCTGGGTGGCCGCCGAAGCCTACTCTTATCGATTTTAGACCACCAAGGAATCTTTACGTGCACAACTTGCACTCGAACCCCTCGAATTTTTCGCCCATGTCCGGGAAGGCTAGGTGTAGATCTTTCCTACCAAAAGATCAGGGGTGTGGCTGAAAGACAGCAGTAAGAAGGAGCCTAGAAGTAGCAGTAGAAACACTGCAGAAAAGGTCAGGAGCCAGAGGAGGAGGCAAAGGAGGTGAGGAGGTGGAGGCAGAAAGAGAATACGAAAGCAGACGACAGAACATTGCTAGAGAACAGGAAAGGAAACAATTTTAGAGAAGAAAAATTTTCGGTCGCTAACCGGATTCGATCCTAGGACCTTTGAAAGAGAGGCCAACACCTTAATTTCTAGGCCACAAGAGCCCCCAGCTCGCACTCTGCCATCCCTTAAACTCACCTAAGTACATGTATCAAAAATATTGTGTGAAATGTTTTGTGATTTATATCATGAAACTTCAGGCCCCCAGATCTTGAGGACACGACAGTTAAAGACTTTACTTAGGTGTGGAATCATCCCCAACTAAGTTGGTACTAAACTGGACGTTAAATTAGACATTAGTATTTGTTGTCCTTCCTTTTTTAAATCCGGTTTTTTTTCGTAAGGCGTGTGTGTTGTTGTACCTTTTCAACGCCATAAACTTATAAGTGGCGACATGACCCAGCCAGATAGGCGGAGAGCCTTTAAAACTCGCCAAAACAACCCTAGTTCAAGATCACCATTTTGAGGATTCGAACCAGGGCCAATCACTTCGAAGTCTAGTGTGATACCAACTGACCTAACCCAACGACCTCATGTGTCACAGCCTCTCCCATGATTCACAACTGTCGAACGTAGACAGTGAATCGGATTCGGATATTCTAAAATTTAAGAGGCTTTATGGTGTTGAAATTTGCCATGCTGCGATATTTTCATTCTGCATCAGTCCGTGTCATGTGAAGAGTAATTTAACATGTTTGATGGTGATGCCATTTGAAATTTAGAAATGTTTAATAAGCTTATTGGGAGGACTCGAAGATATATAACTCTGTTGCAGGTGCGCCGTTTCCTGTCTAGTTTATTCTCCCGGGAGCATGTCTATGTTCCCCCAGCTCTATGTTCCCCCAGTTAAGTTACATGCTCATCATCAGCATCATCATTGCCTTTCTCACCCTGGGTCAGGATAATAATAAAGGCCACGAACAAACACTCTCCACCTTTCCCTATCCTGGGCTAGTCGCTTGATGTCACTCTACGTCTTCCCACTTTTCTGTACATCCATGTTACATGCTAAGTCACGTTAAAGTGACCAGTGGTCAAGCAATGGTCTAACTGACAAGTGGCTAGGCT